CAACACGCAGCCTGCGGTGGGGAGCCAAAACAAAAAAGTAGTTAATATAATGGTCTTCTGTTGATATGCATTTTAGTAGTTAAATTCCTGGACTGTCATTGCTCATTAAAAGTGCTGTCATATGGGTGGAAATTGGGTAAATATTGCATTTTATTAATATCAGCAGAACTGATTTAAATGGGGTCTGTGTGTTGTGTAGTCTTGCCTTAATCTTTGTATTCATGCCTGTCAGTCTGAAAGAAATTATTTGCATATATTTGCGTATATATTTGCATGTGTATACAACCACATTTAAGTTGCTGCCCTCGGCATATGCTGTGGATATCATAGTGGCCCCTGGGGCTTCCAAAGTTGAATAGTCCTGGAGTAAATTATGACTCTGATCTCAACAGGGAACAAGTACATGGGTGGAGCTGTGATGAACTTACATTAGCATCTTTAACTTAGGAGGTGTACCAGCTGCACCTGCTAAGTAATGCTCACTTTAAACTTCAGAGAGACTTGCAATAGCCTAGCACTGAGGTGATGAACTCATGGTTCAGCCACACTCATTCCATTTTATTCAAACTGCCAAAGCTCAAAGAGATGATGAAGGAGGAAGGGCAGTTATTTCATGAAATATTTTCATTGGCCTTATTCTCAAATCCAGCACAGCATGTATTTTAACTCTTTCTCTTTTATTCTGTTACTCTAATAATTTGGGAAGGAGAAAGAGTGATTATTGTTTTGCCTTCATGTGTTCCTGGCTAAGCTCACTATAGAGGGAAATGATTAAAAAGAACAAATAAAAGACCAACAAGTCATGCATGTCCAGTGACATCATTATCATATTCCTTGGGTTTTGTCAGCACACCTACTCTGGGAATGTAATATTTTGTCAATTACCTCCCAATTTGATTATTCTATTTAATTATAATTTGTCTGTGACCTGTGTCCTGTCTCTCATAGAGGTGGTGTAAACAATGTACCCAATAGACTATGTGAATTAAAATCATGCCATTATCTCTAAACATACAACTCCATACAGTGTGCACAACTGAGCATTCACATGTGGAGAAAAGCCAGAAAGAAAGACTTCAGAATCTGTTTTCCAGCGATCCAGTCTCAGACTGACTGATATCCTACAAGGGAAGGCACAGATATTTTTTAAAAGATGATATCTATGATGGGGAAGGGAGAAAGCAAGAGGTATGTTTAATATAAAAAACTAACATGCCATTTGTTCAATGGAAGTTGTTTGACATGAATGCCAATTAAATAGCTGCATGTTAGCTGGCAGTGAGGTCCTGAAGTTATCTCAGTAAATCCTGCTAGTGCCGATAGGTGGCACTCTTACACTATCCACCGGTTACACATCAATGCTCCTCAGAGGCAAGAATCCTGAAGGCAAGATTTCCTACCTGGTTTATCTATAACAAACACATTCAATACCCAACATGGGGTGAGAGCAGCAGCAGAGATAACCATCAGCACTTACTTTCCCCCATTTTAAAGCCGGCATATTTCGACCCTCATTAAACAGAACTGTCTGTCCCACAAGCCTGCTGGCGCAGATTCAGGGTGAACAATTCACGAGCTACTTCGCTTTTAAGCCCAGCCTAAGATATGCAGTGTTATACACAAGCGATATCACTAACGAATATTTACATGCACATTCCAGTGGGGGAAAAAAGACACTAAATGTACCATTCCTGTTGTAATTGTAGAAAGGGCCAGCTTTAAACATGGTTATGCAAAAAAGATTACAAGCCTATGGCTTCTCCTACCATACTATCTATAGCAACTGCAAGAAACACTTGAGACTATAAGTTGGTTGATGATTGGTCACCTGAACTAAATTTTTTGCTGAGTGTCTCACTGTACTTTTGAATGGCCACCATAAATATTGAAACCCCAGACCCCATTGGACCCCATTTCAGGGAACCCAGAGACACCGTATACACGTCAGCTTAACTGAATAAGGTTACAGGGAAAATAAGGGTGGTTGGTGTTCTTTTTCCTCTCGTGATGCACTCCTCCACACAGGATTTTCTCCAAATTTACATCAAACAAGGAAAAACAAATGCTGTGAGGGAAGATTTAGGGCAATTTATCAAGATCTGGGAAATAGCTTCCAGATGGACAGAGCTGTTTGGTGCTGGCTGGTGAGAAGGAAGCAAGGTATTGTTATTGAATTAGCATGAATCTCTGGTGGAGAACAGCTTGGTAGAAATAGAGTGCTCCCTTCATATGGTTTGCATTTGGACCTGTCAAATTTTACTTTTATTCAAAAAGCCATGGTAAAGATGCAGGGTTCTTTCTTACTTACTAAATTCTCCCCAATTCTCCCTGTACTAGCTACAAGTCTGTATTTTTAAGATGTCTGCTTTGCTTTACATGCCACACCTGGCTATGTTCACTCTTTGCTATGCCTGGATGAGAATTTGGTCCTTGCAAGTTAAAAAGTGATATTGTATGAGAGAGCAAGTTCACACAGTGCAAGTCACCTGAGAATCTGAGTCAGAGTGGGAGGGAGAGAAGAAAAGCTAAACTTTCTGTAAGCTATTTAAAACAAATCACCTCAAAAACTTATCAAAATGTTTCTAAATTGATCCACTCTGAGATGCAGTGTGCACTAGAGAAGCTTTGAGTGTAGCTGCAGTTTTTACTAACCCCAAAGCCTGCATCTATACACGGGCTGTTGCCAGCAAAAAATATGTAAAAAAAACTTCTAACCAACATGATATTAGTATAGATCAGGCCTGCCTCACACATAGCTACACCAAAACATGCATCCTTCTAGCATACAAATTATGAAAGCATAAATCTATATGTTCTCCAGTGAGTGACATTACCTCAGCAGTCTCCTAGTTCTGCTTTCAATAATTTAGGTTTTTGTTCCTGTTTTTTTTTCACCCCAAATTCAGAATGATCACCCTGACTCTCAGTGGCAAGACAAGACAGCCACATATTTCCCTAAATTACACTAACTAAACTATGGTCATAAACTATAGCTGACTGAATCCAACATCCAAAGGAAAACTCCAAAACTTTTTGTGTATGCAAAGAACAATGGACCTCTCCCAGATAAACTAGGCGATAATAAATGATACATAAAAATAGTAACTATAAGTTATATCCCCTTTTCACAATAAGATTCTCCTGCTTCAACATGTGGTCTTGGCTTTTCTATCCTGAATATGCCAGAGCCAACAAGTTAACATTAACCACCACCCATTCTGAGTTTGTTGTAGTCCATTCCTCTCAGAGTAGCGTACTTTTATAGTTGTGTGGAGAGTATAGACATCACATGCTCAGCCAGACCAGACCTAAATAGCAGTATAGACAGGGAGCCACTGTTAAGAGAAGTGGAGTAGAAGTGCTCTACATATCTCAAGCCAAGGGTGTGTACCATAAAGGTGTGCTTTCTATACACCTAACCAAGAGCCTCCCACATTTACACTGCTATTTACAGCAGTGTAGTGTCCACTGTCTCCCTACTACAGTGAAAGACTCTGGAAGCACAGAAAGGCTCTGGCTGGTGGAAAGAAACATTTCTATTCTGCCTCCCCGTTGCGGAGCCTTTCACTGCCAGGGGTAGCAATGCACGCCAAGGAACATGGGTGTAGCCTGCTTTTCATGGCAGTGTGTTCCCTACGCATTGCTGCAAGTGTAGACAAGTACTTAGTGAGGCTCCAGTGAGATACCACTAAGGCAGTTTGTTGTGCAGAGACCTGTCCATTATGTAGCTCAAGGTCGCAAAATTCCAACTCAGTTTGGTACATAAAATTGTGAAACTCAGCAAAAGCTGGTGACAAATAGACTGGTAAAATCTGGATTGTTTATTGTGACAGGACATTCCATATGCTTTAGAAAAAATATGCTTATGATTGAATATTACATAACTGAAATGTGTTTTATGCAAAATACCTCGTGAGGTATCACAGAAAAAATTATAATCTGCTGAATATTATTATCCTATTTGTATGCATGTATCATTCCTGTATTTGAAATTAAAATTTGAAGTATAAACCTGGGTTACTGATGTAAACATGCTAAGTGAGGGCCATTAGTACTCAGATACTCAAATTCCAGTATTTAATGGAACTTAATGGCTCAGTACTCAGAATAATAATCTGTGAATAGTCTTTTTTTTCTGTAAAGCCGTGAGAAGGAGCTGTAAGGAGTCCTCTGAAGCATGTGACCATGTCATCTGCTATGGGAACCCATCCATGCATTTTATCCATGAAGAGCTGGGAGGTGCCAGTGCAAGTTTTTGTTACGGGGAAGGGCGGAAGGGTCAAGGAGTCTATGTATATCTCTCCTTTTCCCTGAGAAAGGGATGAACATGAGTTTACCTTGTAGTAAACTGTATACAGAATAAGATAGATTTATCTGGGTGATCAGGCCCTGACATGTATGAACATATGTGTATTTTCATTGTTTATATTTAAAACCCCTAATTGACCTTATACCTTATGTCTATCAAATAGGTGATTACCAAATAGGCACATCTCCACTTACTTATGCGGGGGGGAGGGGGGGGAGGACAACTTACTCCCACTTTTTCACAGATGTATATGGGCACACAAGATGCAAAACTGAAGAATTAGGACTATTATCCCAATTGGAAAGAAGAGGACAGATTACATAATGGTGAAGGCAACCCAGAGTTAGTGGCAGAGCCAGGATATAACTTAGATCTAACTTCTAGCCTTAGATTTCGCCCACCTCAATCCTGGCTGCTTCTAACATGGCTGTTTTGGTCCTAGAAAATGAAAATGAAATCAACTTGCCCTTTTACATTCTCAGCAGTATATAAAAAGTTTAAAGAACAGATACATACATTATATGGAGTAAACATCTGTAGCTGTGTGCAGTTGAAAGACACACAATCTTGAGCAAGGGATTTTTGAGCTTCCTTGTTAATACAACTGACCCCTTATGGTACAACACTAAGGAAGTCAGCAGAAATCTGAGAATATCATGTGACTTTTAATATAGTTCCATTATAGTCATACCTTGAAACCGAAGGGACAAGTACACCGATAGAACTCAACTGGATCGTTGTTGCATGTCCCGTTGTTCTTACATGGACTGGAAAGGCAAGGGTTACACTTGGACACAATGTTGACATCTACTGGTCCTGCAAAATTGAAAGGATAAAATTTAAGTGGAAAACATGGATTGCAAAATTTATTTTTAGTTCTTGCACAGGATACTTATCGGTACTGACACTGTGTTTTTTCTGCCCCTTGCAGTAACAATAGCATGTGCCACTAATGGTCTTTCATATGACAATGTTGAATCACAAGGCATTAATTCACATTTTAAATATTTCAAGTTTTGGACAAATCTAAACGCGATTGGGATGCTTGTCTAAATAGTCCAACACCTTGCATGCAAAAACCAATTGCAAATGTCATAAAGTTGGTTTACTATCAATATTTTTGAAAATTTCCATATCTATCAATGCTTGAAATTCTGCAAAAGCAGCCCCTGACTGCTAATATTTTGGCATTTCTAGTTTGTGTCTGAGACAACGAGAGAAAGTGCAGATTTGGCAGCAGCATCCAAAAATGGGTACAAGAAATTTGCACAAAGATTTGTGAAGCTCAAAAAAGGTTCAATTTACAGGTTCACATGACAGTTCAATGCTAATTCCTTCCTGTTTTTACTGTAGAAAAAACAACAAGCAAAATACAGATATATCTGGGAAATGATGCAGCTGCCCAGTGGAGGCTGTACAATGCAGAACATACATTTCAGGGATTGTTCAGGACTGGGAGGGTGTTGGGGCCACACTGCAGGTAGTAACCAAGGCTGGTGGGAAGCTACAATGGGAATGGAGTGTTGCTAGCAGGTTATTGGGGCCAAAGCTATTGGGCCCGGGATGTAGCTATGCATAGACACCCAGGCTGTGAGCTGCATGCTACAGGCTGTTTGTGAGTAGCCCTTGAGCATTGTGAGATGAGATGTATGTGTGGGACACAAATCTTCAATGGCTTGGATTTCACCCCAGAATGTGACAGAAGGGGGGGGGGGGGGGAGTCAGCATTACCCTGAACACAGCCCAGAATCGTCAAATTTGGAGATACAAGCTGAAAACCAGAATCAGATAAAAAATGTTTTATCTCACAATGAATACCAGCCTTTAGCTACTGCTGTAGACTTCTGTGACTCCCATGTCCTCTGCACAGTCATCTGCCTATATTGTTTGGCTTGCCTGCTCCTTGCAGAAGCCAACCGCAGTAATTAGATCCCGTTTGCAGAGGGAAGGTGTGAAAAGGTGTGAAAAGGGAGTATGGTTGTTGAGGGAGAAAAGCAAGTGATCGGGTAATGGAGGGTTTATTGCAAGGGGAAAGGATGCAGGCTAGTGTGAGGCAATGGGGTAACAATAAAGCTTCATGTGAGAACACTGCAAATATATGGATTTAATAATCAAAATAGTCCTGTCAGCCTTTTCTAAATATAATACTTTGTACACAAGAAGCACGACACTTGGACATGAGAGAGACAGTAAATTGTTTTCATTCTATTACTTTTGATCATGCACAATCCCTATTTTAACTCTCCTTAGGCACCAAGAAAGGTCTGTGAAAAAGTAAACAAAAATAGAAACACAAGAATACTTGAGAAAAAACCCAGAAATGCTAGATCCCACACACTCAGGCATCTACAGCAAAGAAAGCTTATGGCTTCCTGTGAACACACAGAATTACCCCAATTGAAAAACAAGTATTTATTTATTGGACCTGAACAGGTCATCTGCAGGACAAAGCACTCAAATTTTCAAGGATGCTCCTTTGGAGTTGTCACTGTTAGGGATGGGATAGTGGAATCATTGGTTATTCTTCACGGTTACACACAGCCCGCCCCCTCCTTCCACACTGGGGGGGGGGGGGGGGGCAGCTCCCCAGGATATGCCGACTCCCCGCCTACACATACACTTTTAATCGGCTCCCCACATACACCCTATGTAAATGTGTAATTGCTGAAAATGTCAGTGGTTATAGGTTTACCTTAATAAACACATTTTAACATCCCTAGTTACTGTCTGCTGTTGCCACCTCAAGCATGGAGTGGATACTAAATCAATCAGTATTATAGATCTGTTAAGAAGTTAATAAAAATAGGTAAATTTCAAAATGTGGAAATAAAATTGTGACTTTTAGCCACTAACTTTCAAATATTAATGATTTCAATTGTTTTAAAATGTAAAAATGGTAAAAGGGGCTCATTTATTTTAATTGGGAAAGCTCTTTGTCTCCTTTATAAGAAAATATTTAAGTGCAAAGATTGCACAACATTTTAAACACCTTAGGACAACACAGGCATGTGAAACATGGGTGAGGTGCTCTGAAAAGGATTTCATGGAAAGAAGGTAAAATCTGTTGTTCATTTAATCCATATATGAGGTACGTCATATATGAGGTACGTCTGAGTGAAAAACATGCTTCATGTTTGAAATAATGACAGACCTTTCACTGAGGACCCCTTTTGGATAGTGCAAAATTAGCAGCCAGGTGAAAAAGCAATGAACAGGAAATAGGAATTATTTTTCTATTATTCATTGTATTAGCATTCCATAGGAAAATAGTAACAAACACCATTCTTGTGGCAGATCTACATAGGACAAATGTGTCACAACTAAAGCAAAGAAATAAGTGAGGAGGACAGAAGAAAACTGAGTTTGTGTATTTATGTTCTAGGAAACAGTCTAGGAATTTGGGTTAATATAAAAATCCATTCAAGGGATTGCTTCTGAACACGCTAGCTGAGATATTGACTGTCCAAATCATTATTATTACATAGCACCAGCAGGGAGCAACAGGCTTAACAGATATGTTCATTGACAACGACTCTATCACAGATATTCTCATGCCCTTACTCACTTAGGCTGTGTCCAGACTCAAGGGCTTTTTCGAAAAAAGTAGACTTTTTTCGAAAAAACTTCACTTGCGTCTAAACTACAGCCGCGTTCTTTCGAAATTAAATTGAAAGAACGCAGCTTTTCTTTCGACGGTGGTAAACCTAATTTCACGAGGAAGAACACCTTTTTTCGAAATTGCTCTTTCGAAAAAAGGTGTTCTTGAATAAAACAGGGCGTTTTCAAAAGAGAGCATCCAGACTGCCTCGGTGCTTTCTTTCGAAAAAGCGGCTTGCTTTTTCGAAAGTACTGGTTGCAGTCTAGACGCTCTTTTTCGAAAGAGGCTTTTTCGAAAGATACTTTCGAAAGATACTTTCGAAAGTCTCTTTTGAAAGAGGCTTGCAGTCTAGATGTAGCCTTACAGTGCAAGTAGTGTCACTGAAATCAATGAACTGTTAGTAAAGACTGGTGCTCTTTAGTTTGAGAACCTGGCCCTACACAAAATGTACCCAGGAAAAGGGCCCACAAGGAAAGGAATACGCCCAAAAGACTTTTTTCCCTTTTCTAACTTTGTCTGTTTTACATTTAATCCATTTCTGTCCTACCTTATTTCCACTTCTTTCCTATTTGCCGTAAGCTCTAGTTAAGTACAACAGCCTGCCTAACTTTAGCGGAAGAGATTAATCTCAGTGGCTGTAGTTATGCCTGGGGGCTTTTTCTCCTTTATGTGCTACTTTTCTGTTGCTTCTACGAAAAGTGAATGAGAGTAGCTCTTGGGGCGAAGGAGATTGCTCAGGAGGCAAGGACACTAGCATGGATTACACCATATAAAAAACCCTTTAAGTCCTATTCTGTCACATCTTTTTTCTATCTATCAGTTTGTCCATACACATGTGCATGCACACACACACACACACATGCCCACACAGAGTCCATCTAGTCCTATGGCACTGATCAAAGCCAATCAATGAAAGAGCTAATCAGAACTCCTAGCACTTAAAGCAGCCTATTACTTTGTCCTTAAGGGCTTGGTTTATAACCCATGTAGCAAAAATGTTCTCAGTCTTGTGCAGTCCTTCCAATGGTGCAGACGAGGACAATTAAAAAAACACAGAGCTGAGTCTGCAAGTCCGGCCCTGTTTGTACTGTTCAGAGGCAAGGCGAGCAGAGTTGGCTTTTAGTCCAAATGTTGGGTTAAACCACAAAGCTGACAAAATACGTGTTAATTTAGAAAGTCCTGTGTGTCGTTCTTCAGCCGCGTCATGCTGTGGCTGACAGAGAGACGGCAATAATGAGGGGAAGGTAGTGGGCTAGACTGGTGAGATTGTTTAATTGATTGTGGAGCCCGCTGACTTCACTGGACCTCTGCTCAGGTGAACCTGAAGGGGAAAGTTCATCCACAAGCAATTGGAGGGCTGGAGTATAATTAGGGATGATAGATTGCTCTTGCTAAGCTGCAAACTCTTGTATGTTTGTTTTGAGTGAGGAGGAAAGAAGGCCGGGAGAGGAATCTGAAAACTTTCCTCATCCTAAGCCAGCTGCTCTATTTGTCCACAGGCTGCCCTAGGCATCAAGGTCTAGAGGCTTGTGGTGTCCAGGCACCATGAACAGTCCTGAGCCAGGGCCTAGCTTCAGCAAAGTTTGGGGCTAGGTGTCGTCACCAACCCCACCTGCTGCCCGTGTGCTTCCCCAGCCCCCCACCCCACTCCATGTGATTTAAAACGTCTTGGGATGCCCCTGACGCCACCACCGGCAGCAGTGTGAGGCTAGAGCAGCTTCTGTCTCTTTGCTCTGCACAGCCACCGGCACATCCCTGTGGCCTCCAGGGTGTATATGTCTCTCAGGATGCTGTACCCACTTCACGCGCACCTGCAGCACAGGGAAGCTGCAGGGATGGTGCCTGTGGGCAACAGTGAGCAGAGACCCCTGGTCCCCCCACCTGGGAGCCATTGCCAGAGAGGAGTGCCTGAGGAAAGAACTGTACTCCAGCACTCTCTCCTAGAGCTTGCACCCCCTCTCCCGCCCCCACACTCTCTTCAGTCCCCACATTCCCTCCCAGAGCCTGCACCCCTCAACTCTGCTGCACACCAATCCCCTGACCCAGCCCAGAGCTTGCACTCAGCACCCAAACTCCTTCCCCTACCCAAATTCCCTCCCAGAGTCTTAGGCAGGTGGGGGGAGGGGGAAGGGACTCTGGAAGGGTGAGGGGTGTGGGTGTTCTGGTCACCAATAACATTTCTGTAAACCTGTCACCCCTGTAGACTGGTGCTTGGCTCATTGGGTGGCTGACCTCAGGAGAATGGGTTGAAGAGGGTCATGCAAAACAATTTCAAAATATGAGAGTTTCAAGAAAAAGCAAGCTTTTTAGCACTGTATTTCAAAATTATCTTTAGCTACAAATGCCACGTTTGTTTTTCTTCATTTTTACTCCAGTGAAAGTTAGCACATTGTTGGATGTTTATTTAGGAATATTTGTAACTCTGAGCAGTAAAATTATAGGCTCAGCAAAGAGCACAGAGGTCAGATTATGATTTGCTATTTTAAAGCTATCATCACTTTTAAAATAACTAAATTTGAACCATCTAGTTATTAAAAATGAAGCTGGAAGGTCATGAAGTCAGCTCTGGTTTAGGAAGCAACCTTAACTCTAGCTCTATGTCAACACTTGTCCTCTAGTCAGCAATCAGTTTAATCCCAGCCACTATTCAACCATCCTGCTAAGCCAGTGCCATTATTAAAATTTATTATTACATACAAATGTGCACGGCACTTCGTAGACAAATGACAAGATGATGTCATTTCCCATTCACTTACATTTCCAACCACAGACCCTCTTCTCCATTATCATAAATACATGTCTTCAAACTTCTGTCTTCACTTATAAGCTAGTAACCCAAATAAACATCCCACACTCGAATAGTCCCTTGACAGCAAAACCCACAAACAGATCCTCAATATATAAACTACAAACAACGTTATTTGTCCACAATTTCATTGTCAGAAATCCCTCTTATTCTCTTTCTTTTGTTACATTATATAGCCCACAATAACTCCTGAATCAGGCTACGTCTAGACTGCAAGCTTTTTTCTACTTTATACAGCTTTCAAACTTATTTTTTATAATAGAGTTTTCTATTTTTTTAAAAAATCAAGAATTATTTACAACATAAACCATCTCGTACACAAGTTTTTCAGGGTTTTCGGAAATAAATTATTTGATCAATTAGCCCTGAAATGACATTCCATACAATAGTTTGCAATTATATGATCTGGTCTAATGACAGTGTTGCTAACTCATGTGAGATCTGGTGTTTCCCTTAAAGCCTCAAATGCTGGAGTTGAGTGATTGCATGAGAATATCAAGCTTCATTGTGAACAATGAAGTTTCTAGCCCTTCTGGTGGTAGAGAAAAAGCTCAAAAACATGTCTCGAGTGGGCATCAACAGGTCAGAAACCACAAAGCCACAAACCCAAACAAACCCAAATTCATTTTAATATCTCATGATTGTGACACCAGGGGTTGGCGACGCAGTACTAATAAAGCTGTTTACACAAGCTAAGCAATGACACTCAATAATGTGGTTTACAACCCTCAATCAAACAGCTTGCTCCTACCTTTGCACTGGAAGCGATGGGTTGGTGTTGTGAGCAGCAGTCTGTCTGTCATGTCCTCTGGCCCACTGCACCGAGCAATCCCTGGTTCTTTGTATCCTGCCTTCACCCATTCTGAAAGCCAGCGCAGACTGCAGTCACAGTTCAAGGGGTTGGTACCTAGAGCCCTGGTGATGTAAAACAAGGCATTTATTCCTTTGCTTGTGAGCAAAATTAGCCAATGCCTCCCAAATGGTACATTTTAGCCAACTCTCCACCATTAATTTTCAAAGAACTGGAAACCTTCATTTCAACAATCTGGAAAGAAAATCTGCCAATATTTAACAGAAATTCAACATCTGATGTCTCCAAACAGACCTTTGGAGATGTATTTGGTCAAGTATCATAATGGTAGATTAGAATTCAACATAAAGTGTCCTATCAGATGTTCATTCTCACCTCACTGCTCCAGCTGTGTTTTTTCCAAGCCTCAGGGTACATCTATTGTATGCTTATTTCAAAATAAGCTATCCCAGAAAAAGTACTCCAAAATAGCTTTTTTCGAAATAGCATGTCTACATTACAGGGAAGCCTCAAAATTAGCCCGAGGCAGGCTTCCCTAATGTGGGCATGCTACCTTGATTTAGAGCCTCAAGAAGCACTGGGGAATAATTAGTTTGAATGGCACCGGGGAGGAACTATTTTGAAATAGCAGCAGTGGAGCATCCACACTACCGCCATTCTGAAATAGCTATTTTGGAATAATCTTGCGCCATGCCTTGAACACTGACCCCATGCCCCATTGAACATTCTCTCCTTGGCTCCTTCCTTAAGACTAACCTCTTCCAAAATGCCCTCCTTCTACCTTTCTTCTCCTCATTACCAAGCAGAATTGAGTAACTTACTATAGGTCATTTAGTCAAGAAATGTAGCCCATTTCCACTTGAACAATATCTACACACAATGTTTCACTAAATTTTGCTATTTTGATGTGACAAAATGCAGGAGTGGCTTGTTTGCTTATTTCAACTCTATGGCCTGAATGAAACTATTACAAGTTTGAGCTGTCTGTCTGTCAGTTATAATTTCTATGACTTTTTTTTTTTAAACAGAAGTAGCATCATTGCAGGCAGTAGTACTACACTCATGATTAAGAGTTTTCAGATTCAGGTTAACAGTGAACAAACATTTTCTGTCCGAGAAACCTTCATTTAAATAAACCAGGATTTATCAGGATAGGATGAGTGAATTATTGATGGATATCAGCAAATAATGTAACAGTTCTGTGAATGATTTCAGTTTTTAAATGCTTCCCTGTTTCAGTCATGCTCATGCCCATTTTTGTTTGCTTAACACAAACACTCAACAGATTAAGTTTTACTGGCAAATGTTAACAGGAGGCGACTTTGAAAGTTACATGCAGAAATTTTTGCAGAAACCAAGTTTTAATTTTGAACATCTATTTATCTTGGGAAAATGCATATGTGCTGAGCCAATTGGGACAGTAAAAACACTACATGAGCAGTTAGATCAAAACAAAGAATTTTAATGGACTTAAGCACAAACTTGAGAATTCTTCCTGGAAAGGGCTATTTCCCTGAATTACAGTCTAAAGTTGTAAAAATGTATTCATGAAAGACACCCCCCTCCTTTTTTTAACTAAGTTTTGGTCTGTATTTTTAAAACTGTAGAGGTGGGTAATATCAGGCATGTTACATTTCTGTTTTTCAAACTACTATGAAAAGGCATAAAAAATAAATAGCAGATTTCCTGTTCGATCAGGAAAGTGAAATATAATCTAAATCTGCTAAAAGTAACTTTTTACATAAAAACCTGCAAAATTTGAAGCAAAGATATATCCAGGCAACAAGCTGAAAAAAAGGAATATCATCTCCATATGAGAAACAGATTAATTGTCCTGACCATTTTCTAAAAAGATGTCTGCTCTTCTTTGGCTCTGATAAAAATGTATAGTGAATATTGCCTTAAAAAAAGAGGGACTGGACAGCCACATTAATGAGGGTTCCCCAAAGCTCTGGAATTGCACCTCATTTTTTGAAAGATGACATTGCTTTCATTCCAGCCAGGCAAACAGTTCCTACTAAGTCTGTGTGTGGCAGTCGGGTGATGCGAACGGCACACATGAGAAAACTGAACTAGCTTGTGATGCTGAAACCTATTTTAAGGCTGTAACCCAAGTCAGACTTTAATAAAGGTTCCCAGACTTAGATGGTTAGTGAACTAATCCACTATGCCTCACAGCCTGCTATATTTGAGAGTGTTAAAGTTATCTATGGACTGCTGCCAACTATATTTAAAACATCTTTGTTGGCATTTGGAGACCAGGTTTTGTTTCCCTCTCTCTCAGTGATACACTGTATGATCCTGGGCAAGACACTTAAATTCTGTGTCTCAGATTTGTAACTTTATTTAAACAAGGAGCTCAACCCAATATATTTCCCCTTGGCTTTGGATAAATCCCATGTAGCAGTTAATGACAAGCACAAGATGGGAGAATCTATTGGTTTGTTCTCCAAACTGGTCAGACCTATAATCTAGGAAGGAGGCAGCACTTCCAGGAAAACAAATTGATATTAAGTTGCACTTTGCTGGGCATATTTATATTTTGCTCTCAGAAAAACCAAGATAAAGGAATCCAACAAACTAAAACAATAGTGTGCTCAGCTTGGATAACATGTAGAGGGACTCAGGTCTGCAAAAAAGTCCTGGGCTAAACCAGTGCCTCTTACCCTTTGCAGACTACTGTACCCCAGGAGTCTGATTGTCTCGTGTACCCCACATTTCACCTCACTTTAAAACTACTTTCTTACAAATCCAGTCATAAAAATAGAAATGTGTCACAACCCGCTAGGACTGAAAATGGTTGAGTTTCTCATTTTGACCATATAAGTATCAATCAATTTAAATAGAACGATTGCACTTACATTCCAGTGTATAGCACGTCTAGCAGCAGGGTTGCTGATCATCTAACCACTCAGCCCCTACCCATGACCCTTCCCTGAGGCCCCTTCCACAGCCCCTCCATTCCCCCTCCCTGTCACTCACTCACTCACTCTCTCACTCACTTTCACAGTGGGGAAGTGGGGGATGGGGTGCAGGCTCTGAGCACTGGGCTGAGCCTGTGGCAGGGGTTTAGGGATGGGGAGTGGGTTGTGGGAGGGAGTCTGAGCGTGAGAGGAGGCTCGGGGTTGGGATCCAGGAGGGTTTTGTGTAGGGGAGGTTGTGCTGGAGCTGGAAGGGGGCTCAGGGCTGAGGCCGAGGCCTGGGGCATGGGAGAGGATTGGGATCTGGGCTCTGGCCAGGTGGCACTTAGTTAGCAGTGCAGTGGGGCTCAGGCAGGCTCTCTGCCTCCCCTGGCCCCATGCTGCTCCCGGAAGCAGCCCACCCATCTGCCAAATGGCTCTGTGTGCTGACTGCAACCACCTGCCACAGCTCCCCTTCAGCAGCGTTCCCAGCCAATGGGAGCAGCAGATTTGTTGCTCAGGGCAAGGCAGCACATGTACACTCCCCTCCCCCTTACCTGGGGGCCAGGCAGAGATGCGCCAAGCGCCCTTGGGAGGGAAATGGGGCCAGGGCAGGCAGGGAGTCTGATGTAGCCCCCCACTGCACCACTAGACTTTTAGCAGCTGATCTCCCAGTCCGGTGTCAGGAGCCTCCAGGAGATAAAGCCCAATTCTGGGAGCCTCCCAGCAAAGCCAGCAAGGCTGACAAGCTGGAGGAGCATAAACAAGTCATTATATGCAACTTTAGTTTGCACTGACTTCACTAGAGCTTTTCATGTAGCTGGTTGTAAAATTAGGCAAATACCCAGATGAGTTACTGTATCCTCTGTACCTGCTAGGGCAGGAGTGGGTAAAAGCGCCTCTGTGGGTCGGATCCAGCCCGCCAGGTGGGTTGATCTGGCCCGCGGGGGCCCTGCCACTCCCCCACCCCCAGCCCATCA